TAAGTTTTTCCTAGTTAGAGGCGGCATGGAATATTATATTAAATTAAATTATAATAATTATATAAATAAAATAATTTTAATAAATATATATAATATATATATTTAAAAAGACAGACTGGATATTTCTATTTTTTAAAAATTTAAATAAATATATATTTACTAGTCAAGTACAGACTGGAATATTATAAAGAATATAAATTTTAATTAACTAGATTAAGATATTATAGTACTTCTAGTAATAAGAATTAATAAATTAAAAATATAATTAATAAAATTTATATAAAAATTATAGAACTTTAGTTAGGATAAATTAATTATAATTAAAAAATAAATTAACTAAATAATTAAAAAAGAGATATTTTTTTTAATATAATTATATATTTTTAAAATAATTTAAATATAATAAATAATTATTTTAGTTTTATTCTTACAACTATTAAATTTTATAATAAATTTAAAATATTTTAGAAAATATAATAATAATTATTAGATTTTAATCTAGTTTTTATTTATAATACAGGATATAGTATAGCTGATATTAAATATAATATAAATAAAAATTTATTTTTCTTCAGGATTCAGTATAATAAAAATTATTATTAAATTAATTTTTTAAAATTTCTTTTTAATTAAAAGTCTTCTAGTAGTGGTTTTAAATAAAATATAAATTTATATTAAAAGTATAGTCTGATAATAATTTAAATTAAATAAATTTTTTTTAATTATTTATTTAGATCTAGAAAATATAGATATTCTGAATATAATATTTTAATAAATTAAAATATTAAAAAAGTCAGAAAACAGGCTAGAGCCAGGATTATAAATAAAAAATAATAATAAAATAATAAATATATTTCTAGTAATAAAATTAGATATATAAAATAATTAATATATTAAATATAAATATTAAATTTAAGATAATCTTAAATCAGATATTAACTAGAATTATAATAAAAGTATTTTTTTTTTAAATAAATTTAAACTAGAATAATAAGTAATGGAAAACAGAGAGATTTATAAAATTATAATTTAAAATAAAGAATTTCTTACTAATAAAATCTGTAAAAGACTTTTATAAAACTTTTTTAAAAAAAATAAAATTAATTAATCTGGTAGACAGCTTCCAGGATTTATTATAAAAATTTAAAATATATTATAATCTTTTATTATCCAGGAATTAAAGGAAATAAACTAAAATATAATAATTTTTTTTAAATAAGATATTATTTAAAAATATAATTTTTAATTTATAATTAATATCTTCTTTTAATATTAAAAGTAGTATATTTAGATATATTTTAATTTCTTAGATTAGATACTAGAATTTAATAAAATAAATACTAAATTTCTAGTTATTCTATTTTAAATAATATAATTTTAATTAGATATTATAAATACAGTTAAAATTCTTAAAAATATATTATAAAAATTTTAAGATCTCTATATAATCTGCCAGGATATAGATTTTATTTTTAATATAAAATTAAATTTAATTATATAATATTTTTTTAAATAATTTATAATATAAAATATACAGGCTTATAAAATCAGATAATAATTATAATTAATAAATATTTTTTTTTAAATTTGAAAAATAAATCAGGTAAAATCAGTATAATTATTTTTAAATTTATTAAAATTAAAAATATATTTAAAAAAAGAAATAGAAATAAAAAAGTTAGAATTAATTAATAAAATTATTTTTATTAAAATAATTATTATATTTTTAATAATAAATTTAAATATCTGATCAGGGATGCTGACTATAAATATAATAATTTAAATAATTTTAATATATTTTTTTAATATTTAATTTTTAATATTTAATTTTTTTTCTTAATAATAATCTTCTTAATAATAAGTATTTTAATAAATTAATAATTAATATCTATAATTTACTAGATTTAATAGACTGTTATAATATCTTTTATAATAAGATTCTATTAAAATTAGAAATAATTATTATTTATTTTTATTATAAAAGCTGAGATTTAATTATAATAATTATATTATTCTTCAGGGTTCTCTGTAATATATTATATAAATTCTTTAAATTTATTAAAATTAATTAGAGATTATAGAATAATGGATATCTAGTTAATTATTTATTTTAAAAAAGAAGCTATATAATATCAGAATATAAATTAATAAAAAAATATTAAGATATAGATTAATAAAAATAATAAAAAAGTAGCTTAAATAAAAAATAAAAACAGATAAAAGACTAGCTGGCTAATTATAATCAGATTATATATAAAAAAATAGATAAGATATAGCTTAAAGCTATAAACAGAATCTGGAAGATTAGTAAGTTTTATGTCTTTTCAGGTTATATATCCAGGCAGCCAGTCCGGGCAGTACTCCACGGCTGGCACCATGACAAAATTTCAATTTTATAGTCAGGACATGTTTAGTATTATATTAAAATCTTATACATTTATAATATTATACTATTATTAGCTAGTTTTCTCTCTGTCTTTATAATCTATAATATTAATTATAAAATTATATTATTTATATAAAAATATATAATATTTATCTAAAGTTTTTATATAATAAGAGACTTAATTTAGTAGATCTAGTTATTATTTTGTTCATAAATAATTAATAAAATTTATTTATATATTATGATTTATTAAAGTACACGTGAATACGGGCTTTTAAAATATATTAAGTATTATTTATATATTAATAAAATTAGATTTTTTTATGATTAAAGTTCTAGTACTGCTGCTGTATATAAAATTAAAATATTTAATTTTTTATTTATATTATATTTTTTAAGTAATAAGCTGCTACATATTTTAACTTTTAATATAAATAATATTTAATATTAAATATAGAATTATTTATTCAGGATTTCCTTTCTATTATATTTAAATTTATTTTGAATACTTATTTATATTTCTGGATTTTATATTATTTAAATTATTATAATTTTTTAAAAAAATTTTTTGGTATTCTTTTTACTACAAGTACTTCAAACTGTTTTAATATTTAATTCTGAATAATTTATAGATATATTATAAAGATATTACATATATTTAATTTTCTAGAATATTTTTAGTTTTTTTAATAAAATTTTCTAACATTGAAATACACAGATAATTTTTCTATTAATTTTTTATATATAACTCTGGAAGCTGGGTACATTATTGATAAATATATTATATAAATTTATATATAAATTAATAAATTTTTTATTTTATATCTTAGTAATACTAGTTTATATTTTTTATAAATTTATAAAATTATTCAATTATTGAAGAAAGAAATTAAACTATCTTTATTAAATTAAACTAAATTATCTACTAGTAAATATTTTATTATTATATTATTTTTACTAGGGAAGCAGCAGGAAATAAAAATAAAAAAATATTTCTCAAATTATTTTAAATAAAATAATTCTTTATATAAGCTATATAAATATAATTTTCAATTATAAAAATTTATTATAATATTTTTTATTTATTACAGGCCTAGCTGGCAGTTTTATTATATATATAAATTTTTTTATTTCTTTGCTAAAATTTTCTCTGTAATAAAAGACTGGTAGAAAAATCTTATAATTTTAAATATTATTATCTTATATTTTTTAGTATCTTATTTAAATCTATAAATTATTTATATATCATAGTTTTCTGATCAGGTCTCTTTTAAATAATTATTATTTTAATATAATAATAATTTTGAAAATTATTAAATATTTATTATTTACAGATTCAGTTATTAGAAAAATCTTATAGTAAAACTTTTAGAGCATTCCTGTAAGTTTTCTCCTGGTATAATATTTTAAATGTAAAATATTATTTTTTATTAGATTTTCTTTGTAAAGAAGTCATTAGAATTATTAGATATAATATAAAAAATATAATAAATCTAATTATATATATGAATGTAATAATATAAATAGCTTGATCTCTGGGAGACTTATTATATAAAGAATTAAAACTATATGTAGAAAACTAAATTTAAGCTTTCCAATAAAAGAAACTTAGAAAAAATTTTATAAATTAAAAAAAATATATTCATTGAAAATATTATGGAAAAGTAAGAATAGCTAGTGGATATAAATTATATTTTATTTATAAAAAATGATTATAATAAAATAACATTATAGAATTCTAGATTAAAAATCACTTACGATTATTAAGTTCTTTAAGTTTTTAAAGAATAATAATATTGGTAAAAAGAAATAAATCTTATAAAAAGAATTATAATAGACTATAAAGCCATGAAATATTTTACAAGCAATTATTATTTTCGAGAAAATAACAGTCAAATATTAAATTTCTTTTATTTATACCTGTAATATATATAAGGAAGTAATCCTTATAAGGATAGTTATCCACCTCCTCCCAGGGTGTACCTTAGTATATAGGGGATTCTAGGGGTCCGCAGAGGTATCTGCGGGTAATGATGGCCTTATGGTCTTGTTTTGAACTTTTGCCCCTAGAAGAGTTCCTTACAGCTGCCCTGCTCTAATTACAAGAATTTAGAATGATTTACATAGTTCGCAGACATTGAATATAATTTAGTGATAGTAATAAACAAATTTACTAAATTGTCAAATCATTTTATACTCGTTAGACGTTTTTATTTTTTGAACTTTATATCTTTTCAATATTTATACTCATTCCTTTTCTTGCTTGGATAATATATTCACACAGGTCTATGTGCTCAGTGCAAGAATCCGGAAACTCCTCACATTTAGTATTCACTGCAAGCTTACAAGTGATGCGCGTTCTGAGTCAACAAACTCAGAATTCTAGTCTTTAACCGGATAGCCGAGTGGTTAGTAGTTGCAGACAGTTCACTCCTGAAGCGCACCAGGCGCTAGCGGATCGTGGACACTCAGCTTCAGTTGAGTCCCACTTATGTGGGCCCTCGATGCATGCATTGTCCAATTAAGTTGATGCTCATGGGTGATTACAGCACTAGTACCCTTGGCTCATCAACGCATTACAAGTCAATGAGGTCATAAGTTCACCATACAAACAATGTATTCCTGGTCACATGCTTCTAGTGATTGACACCTATATAGTACAATGATACGGCTGGTACTCTGTACACATTTGCATATAAAGACTGACCCGACCCCTGCGAGTGTTGTACAAGTAGTACAAAGTGCCTTTTTGTCCAATGCCTAATTACAATATCTTTAGTCTCAAACAGTAACATAATACCTATTTCCACATCACACATTACTGTCTAACAAGCCAATCGCTTTATATCCACTGGAAACCGTGGGCCGCTAAAGTAGGTATCGGGCTTGTAATAGGCAAGCCCCGGGCACTTTATGTTAACTATTCATTAAAGTCTACAGACATATTGAATAGAGCCAATCTCTTATATCGAGCAAGGTATGTATATTAATGACTTGCATTCGCTCGATGAAAATCACTGATTATGTGCCTAGTTTCCTCGATCAAAAGAACGCAGAAAGTCCACCTCTATGAAAAGTAAGCATCTCTCTTAAGAGCTATATTTGGTGTGCGCATCATTGGATGCACACCCAAAAGCTAGGCTTGGTTGTATTTCGCACTCAATAGTTAACTCCATAGTGACGCGGTCTCACAAAACCAACGATCCAGATCATTCAGCATTGCACGAAGGGGGAGCTCTAGGCCAAGAGAGTCTTCCCCGCTATTTTGCCAAGTCAGGACCTGTGGATGCTGATCCCCGGAAGACAAAGAAAGATGGAGGCGGAAAACGAAACTGGTTAGTTGAGTAGTCTGGCGTCTCTCACCATCATGGCCCCTAGGAATATCCAGTGACCCTCCTCCAGGGGCCGCTCTGGCGATGAAGTGCACGACTATGGCTACAAGTTTACAAACACACGACGTCACTCAAACAGTAGCGCCCAGGGAATTGCGGACTTCAAGACAAAATTTGAAGCCGTTGAACCAGAGCCAGTCTTTGAAGAGACTGTGCATGGGCCCGATGCCTTTCCCGCGGATGACGACATGGTAAGGAAAGTTGATAGCATCAACAGTGATACCACTGAAGGTAGTGAAGTCCCTTCGAACAAGCCATAGCTATATCAGGCGAGGTAGCCAGGGATCAAAATGAGGATTTTTCAAGAGTGATCCTGCACAGACACGGTAAACCAGCAAGAGCTTTGTATCACAAAGGTGACGATCTTCAGTTTATCAAAGACCCCTGCTAGGAAATATGATGAGATAGTTTGACTGCATGTGCAATTCAGGTGCCTTGCTCTAATTCAAGAAATCATTAAATGTGGATAAGAAGATGCCGCAACCTCGCCCTAAACTACGGAAGGCAACTATCAGACAATTGCATTGCTAGAAGATACTGAAAACATGTCAGCGCCAGGAAAGGATTACTAAGAATGTACAAAAGGGCGGAACGGAAGAGAAGCATGTCTGCAACCAATTGAGCTCATTTATAGCGTGCAGGCACTAGTCAAGAACTCAGATATTGCTGAGTGTTGTTCTAAAATCTTAGAGCCAACTCAGCTGTGCCTTCTCAGTTGATGAATCGTATTGCGGTTCATTATGCGCATTGCCATTCTTGTCATCTTCGGTGGAAACCCCAGAAGGCTCTTGACGCGTGGTCTTGGCTGAGTCAAAAAGGTTCTTGAACCAGAAATTAAGCTTTCCTTTTTCGATTTGTTGAAGTAGGATTTCGTTTTCCCTGGCGAGATCACGAGAGATGCGGGCACGCCGCTCAGGTGGAAAACGTGTTGTAATAAGATCAGCGTCAGAATCGCTTAGCAACACGTCGTGCGGGCCGTTAGGGACGTATATAGAAGGGTAGTTAGAATCTTCATCAAGGCCTGTGAACAGAGTTAGTAATATGCTTGAGGACATTCTCCACTAGTCAATTTCATACCGTCCCTGAGGCACCAACAAAGGGTACGTGAGAGTGTTGTGGCATAAAGGAAACTTTCGGTGTCCATTCCCAATCCCTCAGCTGCCTCTTCCAATCTTTCCCAATTGTTATCTATCATGCATCTTCTCCACACCAATTTCTGTAGTGCTGCATGATATTGTGGATCTCGCTGGTCGTAAGAGAGTCGGATGATTCGCAAAGCTAGGTAGAATTGTTTCCCCACGATTTCATCCTGACCTTGTTCAGAGACCTGGGATAGGTATATGTGCGTTAGCAGGTCTACTAACTCATCCGAGCTGAGAACTTGTCGAGTGACAATCTTGGCCAGAGCATCGCTAAATATTTCATGCAATGAAGGCCTGTCCGCGGCTGTTGGGTTGCGAAATTGTTCAATCGCGATATCAATTTCCGCCTTCTGATCGATTGCATTGTGTAACGCGGGCGCGACATAGGCGAATATCACTTCTTGGACGGCATCAACCTCCGCAAAATCTTCCAAGCGTCTGACGTTCTTGCGAACGACTAGACTATCTGGCATTCGAGATTCCTCCCAGACCGCGAGATTTGCAAGCTTTGCTAGGGACAACTCAACACGATGACTCCATATATCTGATTCATGCTTCGTGGCAAGCTTCTCCAAGGATCGGGCAGCGCCCTCATAGTCATTCTCACCGATCACATCATTAATCCAGCCCAGCCGCAGATAAGCTGGGTGTTTTCGTAAGAACTGAGTGACGAAGGGCTGGAACTTTTTCATCGCAAAAAGTATTCCGGATTGACCCATGGAGATCTGCCGGGAGAAAAAAGAATCGGCCCAAGACTCCCCGAATTTCTCAAAGTAAAAGGATATCTTTTGACTGAGTCGCTCAGACGCGTTCTCGTCAGCACCTGCATTTTTGTTTGGCGAATCTTGATGTGTCACAAGGCTCTTGGTTTGGTCCTGAAGCTCGATTATGAGCTCCACGAGCGCTCCCATATCTCGGAACTGTTCGGCAAGCATAATGGCATCATCTAGATGCCCTATTCCGGCCAACTTGAATAGCTGCCATTTCCGTTGCTTGATGTGAGCCTGTTCAGTCGCAATACTTTCGTCGATAAGTTTCTGACTCTCTTGGGACGAGAGCCAACGGACTCGTTCACAGTGCATGAGCCCTAAAATCTGAAGCTGCCTAGAACTATTTTTGGCAATCCTTCTCACAATTTGAGTTTCGGGTAGCTCAACTCCAATCGTTGTTTTCTGGATCCAAGCTCTGCAGCTATCAAGCTCCAGATCCAGCAGATGTCCAAATTCGATATAGCAATAGCGCTGAGAAGTCCAGAACTCCGAAAGACCAGTGTAGTCACCCGTCAATATGCCGTCCTCCAGATAGCCGTCGCCAATGCCATACCGGCTAGAATTCTCGTCTCGATAACGAAACGCAGTCTCCAGAACTGCTAGGGACAAGTCACTAGCCTCGAGTAGCTGCTCCGACATCCGTCGTCCCTGTTTTGCAGAGCTTCCCTTTTGAGGCTTGATGGCTTTAAAGATCCACGGCACGATATGTTCCATTTGAAAAGTATCATATAGAAACCAATGGCGCACTGGGTCGCAATCATTGGTCTGCTCTTCGATCTTCGTTTTGAACTTCTCGCTCATTAACCCGATTATGTGCGCCAGCAGTGTTGAGTTTTTGCTCGCGCATTTCCTGGCTTCGTCTTCCAACTTCCACATAGCTCTTTGAGCAGCCAGTTTCTCCGCACTCCAAAGTAACTGCCACCAGACTTCTCGGCGGATGGTCTCATTCTGCTGTGTCAACAAGAGGGCGAGGTCGTCGAGTGCTTTAGCTCGCAGTTTCAAATTTTGATCCACGGAAATCCCATTCGATGGAATGAATTCCGATGCAGACCGCATCAATTCCTGGCATATTTCCAATGCAGCATTTTCCGTCTCGCTGATTGGGAATCCTATTCCGTCATCACCTGTAAGGTTCAGTGGGTTTTTGGTCATTGTGCCATAGAATATAGCCTGTTCGATTTTATGCTTCGCAGTGATGCGGCCATCATCAACGTTGCTCTTTGTTCTTTCACTCGGCAAAGCTGCAATACGAATGATACCGAAATCTCGAACCATGAGCAGGCATGCGGCTAATGAGCCCTCACCACTCTGGTTTTCACATCCGCTTCCTAAGATCTCGTAGCTCTCTCCAGAACGTAAAGGAATAATATCCTTGAATGCCCGCCCTTGCTGAGTTACGGAAACCGCATCCTGAGTAATAGTAGGGTGTTCGGAAATGGTCAATGATAGCAACACAATTGACTGCCCAACAACAATGAAAGCGGTATGCCCGGGACTTGGTACAAACAACCTGACACGCGGAAAGTCGAGATGGGTGCGCAGTCCATGAAAATCAATCGTATTAGTAGATAAGACTTGAACATCGTCCGAAAATCGCATTTGGACGACAAACATGTCCCGAACGGTGCCGGGGGCAGAATGTGAGACGGATGCCACAACCGCTGTTATCAGCGAGGAATTGGGCCCGTCACGAGCATTAGTGCTTTTGCAGTCGGCCAAGACAAAATCTAAAACCTTTAACCTATGATCATCGGCTTGACCAACGATAAGAGGCCCAAGTGTTTCACTCAAGAGATCATATACATCATGCTGATGTTTGAGCATGCTACCGTTGTTCCAGTGGGTATCCCAAATTTCGAAGAGACCTTGAGACGTAGCGATTACGACATCGCGTTGTCCACGCTGGTGGGATTCGCCCGCTCGAACTGCGGCAATGTCTTTTCTGTAAAAGCCACCCCCAAGAGCATTTCTCAAGCTTCCAAGTAAGCCTGGTCTACCGCCACCTGCGGGGCTTCTCAGGAACGAGACAGTTATTGCTGGCTTCCCTTGACAATCTCTGATGGTTATATGGGCAACCCTTCCAGTAGAAAATATAACAACGACACCAGATGGCTCGCTGTTTATGACGTCTGTAGCGTGCTCGCCCGAGAGCAAGCCAGGGATACAGCCTTGGATGCCAGAGTGCTTCTGCCTGGAGAAAGCTAAGGTTGCAGCACTTGATATGGCTTCCCAGTATATGATTTTTCCGGTATATGGCATGACCACCATCAACCCCGGAACACCACCTGCAACGGTAGATAAGAGCAACCCAAGGGGGGCAGTGTTACCAGGCTCTTTGCAGGACTCGGGTATTGCAAGGGTGAAAACATCTGCAGGAGAAGGCGATGGGACTGTGGTCGAATATGCCCAGACAATGGCATGCGATTTGGTTAAGGCTAAAGCATATCCATGACTAGTTCCAAATGAACCTCTGAAAGGCCCTGCATGTCTGTGTTATTATAGTTGTGGTGGCGAAGGGGTCAGCAGTACTCGCCTGTTTGTAAACCAAGCACCTGGTCTGGCAAAGTGGGTAGCTGGGTGACGGTGTAGAACTCCGTTTTAGACTATGCATAAGCCTATGTCAGATGGGCGATCCAAGGATCTTGTAGACTGAATAGTGATCGAGAACCACTTACAAGCACCACTGTTCCTTCACCTTCATCCTCGCGCTTCTCAGGCCTTTTGACCGCTCGTATAGGAATATTTCTGTGGAAATGAGCAGTTTCTGAATTTGCGACGCCTTCGTCAGTTAAAGTTGACGGCTGGCGTTCCTGGAAGTCGAGCTTGGTGTGATTGTTGTTCAGATTGTGAGACGCTAGTTCTAAGTCTTTTTGACGGAGATTAGATCTTTGTCTTTTCGCACTTGGAGGCTTTGGTGATTCGTCTGAGTTCGTACGCTGACGCCTCCGGGGGTTGCGCTGAGAAGCTGCGGATGAAAGCGTCTTAGGTACAAACATTTTTTAGGACCAGACACAAGCTAATTGCGTACAAAGAAGACCCTGTGTAGATTTCGTGGCTCAGAAGCGCGCATCTGAAAAGTAATCGTAACACGCCACAGTTGTGATGGAGATTGATTTGAAAATTTGTATGTAAACAGTATATTATTTCAAATAGCGATATTGATAGGTACTAGGTATGGAGGTTAATTCACTCCGAAGGCGGTCAGCAGTTCTGATAGGATTCCAGACACCCATAGATACCTGCAGAGCCAAGTTCTCCTAGTTAAACAGAATCGCACTTACCTAATTAAAATGTAAACAACCTTCAGTCCCTGTTTATAACTACTTGTTGGATAATACTATATCTATTAAACACGTGAAATATCAAAAAGGATTGTGATACTATGTAGACATTGTATTTTCCATCCCGTTCTTACATCCTGACACTAGTGCTATCGGTTTATTAGTCCAGTAATACATAGCCAGGTAATACATACCCATTAATCTACATACCCAGCGTTCAACAGCTCCGAAATCTTCAAGGTTAGTACAGAATCCCCCATATCACTGACACGTTCTGTGGCTGTCAGTACTCAATATCACGTGACTACACAAGAACACATTTGTTCGTGCTACGGCTACTGTTGCTGCACTTACATTTGAAGGCAGCGCGAATTCATCTGTAAGAAATATTGACATTTGCCGATGGCATCTGAAGGCTATGTCCTGCAATAACAGCAAGGGCATTTTTCTTCCTGAGGCCTACAAAACATGCTTGCATTATCACCGAAATCAAGACTATCTTTTCGCATAAAAGCACCCCGATACCATGCTCATTGTCGTACTCAGCTAAAACCTAGTTTCCAGCGAGATTATGCCAGCCCCATTACCGCAGAGACAGCCTTGCGCACTGCTCTCTTCTTTCCTGGTTTGCATACCCTGTATTTTGAACTCGCCTATGTTCTGACGCCTTTACCGTGTAGGTCATGGTGTACAGCGTGTGGGAATGGCAAGTTCTTGGGTTGAGAGGTTCCCAAAAATATCCAGCATATTCCTAGACGAAATGGATTCGATCCTGGGTTTCAAACTGTCTCACATCATCTCCGAAGGACCAAATTCGGAGCTCGATAAAACCGAAAATTGTCAGCCGGCTATAATGGCAACATCGATACTAATCCTTCGAATACTTGAAGAGGAGTTCGGCTTCATGACGACCTCACGAGTGGATGCCACACTTGGACATAGCTTGGGGGAGTTCTCAGCACTCGTTGCTGGAGGTTATCTCGATTTTAGCGATGCACTGAAGTTGGTGAGACGGCGTGCAGAGATAATGTCCGAATGCACGCGAGCTGCTATCAAGAGATCAGGCGATGAATATGGCATGATAGCACTTGTCTGTGAGCCCGACCACATGAGTGAATTGCTTTCTACCATTTACGAATTCATTGGACTTGGCCCATCGAGTCTAAAAGATGATTCGAGCCAATGGTACAAGGCATTCCAACAAGTCATGGTGGCAAATATCAATTCAAGAAATCAGATTGTACTGAGCGGCAACATTGCAAAAATAAGAGCTCTGCTTATCCAGCTTCGTCAATTTGGAGGACACGATCCCCGTGCGGTGAGACTGAGATGCGAAAGCCCCTTTCACAGTCCCATTATGATACCAGCAGCCAACTACATGAAGTGTGCCCTTGAACATATGAATATCAATTTCCCAGCACGAATGCCATGTATCTCCAACGTCTCGGGCTTACCGTTCAATTCCAAGGAAGAACTCAGGTTTCTATTGTCACAGCAGTGTGTCGATACGGTAAAATGGTGGGACAGTATTCGATACCTAGATCAGACGCATGCAGTAACACGCTGGATTGGCATTGGACCTGGGAAAGTCGGTAGAAATCTGGTTGGGAAAGAGGTCGGTAAGGTTATGGTGAAAGGCGGCGGTGTTTGGTCTATATCTGACCCCTCGGAGATTGCAAATGTTCTTTCTGCGTTGGACAAGACTGAGAGTGACCCTCCACATGATCGAAACGGATGACTCGGGCGAGATGCTTTGCCCCACATGCTGTGTCTTCACTATATACCCATCCCATGATGACCAGATTGGTCAAATCGACTTGACTCCTCAATCCTCTTATCACGTATTATACACTTATAGTAGTACACAGCGTAGAGTTATACAAAGCACTGGGTAAACATTGGATATTATCAACTGATACTTTGCGATCAACAGATGTCTCCTACGAATGCCGTACATCAGAGAATGCTATACCGAATCCTGTGCGTGTTATACCCATGATTATTGGAGGATACCAAGGGTGGGAGTCATCAAAAGTACAAGTGATCTTCAAAATCGAGATTCTTCGAAGATAGTGTGTAGAGCGGTAGGTTGTTTGCCACATAGCATGGGTTCATGGTTTTTTAAAGGGAGGCTACAGTCGGAACCCATGAGTTTCCAATTCGGTTGACCTCGTTAATGAACCTCTGATCTGTGATCTGCGAAGTGCAAGATGACACGGCTTTCGCTGTGGCCATGTGCTCGTCCGGTCGATAAAACGGATTCTGTAGCAACTGCACATATGCTGTTTGGAGAGTTCGGAAAACCTGTAGGTGGGCACCATTAGTGATTGAAGCCCAGAATCTTGTGTATTGTTCAACATGTAGAACTTCGAATGCAGGAGAAAAACACAAACGTACTGCTTTTAGGTCAAATTCCCTTAACCCCGACTTGGTGGAACCTTTAGGTCCTTCATCACTGATGGACTGTCCAATCAAGTCAACTATAACTAGGAATTTTACCCCCGTAGTAGAAAGCCAGCCATATGCTGCAAGTCTCTCGTCCACAGCCTGCAAAAGACCAAGATCTTGGTCAATTGACGTCTGTTTGCGGCGTATTTCAAAGATATCAAGACAGGAATTCAATATAAAAGAGAACTCAATAGTGGACTCCACATAGGGAGGGAACAGCGACACGTGGAGTGGATTATCCTGATTCCTACATTAAGACTGGCGCAGCAGATGAAGGATATGAAGACTCACAGCTTTCCCAATGACGCCGATACAGGCAATCTTAGGCAAAGCCATAGCTCCAGGTCAGTTATGGCCTGCTGAAGAAATCAATCCCACTGAATTCAGATAAAAACCATCAATTTCATCGTTCTTGGGACGCGAGATCTCCTGGCTTCTGTGTTTCGGAGAAGGTAGGCGCTGAGCCAGTTATGTCAATGATACCTAACCCACCCATGAACAACCCCATACTAGTTCACTAACGTAATCCACATGCGGATCAGCCACATGTTCGAGCCACCTATTTAGATATTCTTCACTGGCAGAAGAGATGCATTGATTGATTCATACGCTTGAACCATCATCCAAATTCAAAGCTTAACAACATATTTCTTTTCTTTTTCCTTTTTCTTTTTCACTTCAAAGACAAGAGTATAATAATATAGCAATTAAAACTTTGGTCAATTGCGCCCCCCCCACCCCATTATTACACTCTTAAGGACAGGAAAAGTTTGACCCAGCATATCTTCGTATAGACTGCACAGTACGTATAATTTGGAATTCGGTCTGGTTAAGTCTTCGAAGTTCGAACGTAGGATGGTTATTAATTGTAGCTGTTCCACATGTGGATTCCCTTATCTGTTGACTTCATACATCTTCGGAATTTCATGGTTACCGTTCAAAGCCATTGCCAACATCTTGATTTTATGAGTGCTCGCTGCGTTGTCCGACCTTGTTCTATATGATCTTCAAAGAGAGCCACATTGTGAAGATCCTATTCAGATACGCCCGTTTTAGTAAGGCATCATCTTTCATACAGCCCAGGCTGCTAGGACGCCTATCGATAGTGTGGAACTATTGGTGTTTCTGTTACGGGATGCTCTTCACCTGCATCCATCTATCTACAGTACTTTGCTCCACGTAGCGATGAGATCCATGTCGCTGTCCAGATAAGGAGGGATTCGAATACCGAGCTTTGATGACTCCAGCCAATGAAGCTCTTTAGAATCTAACTTACACTAGCACAATGTTAGCCGCTTGTCCGTGGCTCACGTGCCAATACGGTATTATACACAGAGTAAATGCGAGACACTGGATTCAACGAACTGAATTAGGTTTCGTTACAGTAACTTACAGAAATTGCGTTCCATTGGTACCAATAGTGCAGAATGATACTCTTAATTTGAGCCTCGACCATCCTGATAATATCTTGCCACCATTGACAGACTGGACTACAAGCCTCCACTCTTCTGACAGTTCATACGGGTTTTGTACGCAAAGTCGCTTCTTTTTTATCTCTGTGCACATTGTTACTGGGAGCGATACAGCCATGCTGCCTCTCACCGGTCGCGCCATTCCAGGCGCCATCCCAAGCGCTCTTCATGGTATGTGTTCTCCAATTGTTACTACTAAATTGCTGAACTCATGTAGTGCGACCGCGTATCACATCTTGCCATTTCCGAATTCAGCCAGTTTCGTTCCTTTCGACCTCTTCAATTAAGTCGGCAACAGCAATCGAACAGCGGGGACAGTCTGGCCAAGCGCTCACTGCTTCTGGAAAGGTGCGGAAAGAGGTGCCCTTACCGAGCCAGGAGAAAAAGGAGGGTGCTATGCAATATGTCCTGTTTGTTGCCTGAGACGCATGAGATGGGTACTTTATACTGATTCATGTGTAGTACCACGCTTGACCAAGTCGCTAATTGGGCCCGCCAAAGTTCTTTGTGGCCCATGACCTTTGGTCTCGCCTGCTGTGCAGTTGAGATGATGCATCTTTCGACCCCCAGATATGATCAGGATCGTCTTGGAATCATTTTCAGAGCATCACCTCGGCAATCGGATGTGATGATCGTGGCAGGCACATTGACAAATAAGATGGCTCCCGCTCTCAGACAGGTGTACGACCAAATGCCTGACCCTCGTTGGGTCGTCAGTATGGGAAGTTGTGCAAATGGTGGTGGTTATTACCATTACAGTTATTCTGTTGTTCGCGGATGCGATAGAATCGTACCCGTGGATGTCTATGTTCCCGGATGTTTGTATACCCTTTACCATTCCTACAATGACGTTGGCTAATGGGAACAACTTAAGGTCCGCCCACCTCCGAAGCATTGATGTACGGAATCTTTCAACTTCAAAAGAAGATGCGGCACACAAGGATCACCCGCATGTGGTACCGCCGTTAAGCTCAACTTGGAATTACTTCCTCCCTATGTTACTTAAGGGTTGGAACGGACAGGTTCGGACGTAGACTTTATAAGAAGTCCTATCCTGGAAATCAAGTATGTGCTCTCGTGCATTACCGAACACTACCGGCGCGCAATTGATAGGGGGAGGGATGAAAGGGAAGTGGAGGCTTAACTTTCAACAGGCATACCAGGTGTGTCATGTTCATGGTTGAGCAAGGAAACCCGGCCAACATGTATTGTATGCAATAACTGCAAGCCACTTTCCTAGGTATATTAGAACGGGGTTAGGGACTTGGCTGCAAATTCACACTGATATTCTGCGCACTTGTACGGCTCACACCTCAAATGTCTCATATCTAGACTCTATCGTGTCGTAGTGTTAGAATATCTCAACCGATCGAGACATTACCACTGTTTGCATGCTTAGTATGCAACTAATTGCTAGACTGCTTCTTCGCCTGTTCAAATATACCTAGAGGCTGCAAGGTGAAGGACTATACTACGACAAGTCTCTTATCATCAATATTAGAGACACAGATTTCTGGCATGCTGATACTTGAAAGGAGTTCGATTCACCAGTGACAATGGAATTGGCGTTTCTAGTCGTGTTAACTTTCCGCGGGGCTCATATAAAGTAAAGTATGCCAACGATCCTTGTATCGCAAGTCATCAATAGCGGTAGTATCTCTCCGACTAGAGGGGATAAATTATTATGGGCCTTTCTGCAGACTTACATACGCTCGGCAGGGCTTTTCTTGTTCGGGTCATGTTTCGCAAACAGTAACTTCGCGCATGTTTCAGGCCATGATTGGCACCTGCTAGAGGTCGGTAAGCATTCTCTTAATGCACCAAACCAACAATGAGTAGAAATCCTCGACTTTATCAGTGTGAGACAGGATACCCATCATCTATATTGATATACACACCTTGTATGCCCACGTTTGTCTGCTATATGAGGAGATCTGCCATGCGACACGCCATCCATCACAAAAAGCATTTTGTAGTGAGACGACCGAAGGAAATGGCCATGGCCCGAGCTTGCCTTCTTTCCAGCGTCCCCACTTTTATGACCCAAAGTAATTGATTATCTTAGTTCCCCTTTCACTTTCATTAACTTTTTTTTTTTTTCCCGACTTTCGGCTTCCGCAAGCCATTATTTGAAGTGTCCACCAGTAGCTCAAAATATCAGACTGATCTCTCTGCACCTACCATCTAAAGCTTTCGCATGTTTTCCTTACCTCACTTTCCATCTCTTTTTATTTGATACAGCTGTCTCATCTCAGGCGTGTACCACGCCATGAAGAACCTCGCTCCCGATCCATCTGTGGCTCTTCCTGAAGTCGAAACTCATGAACCAATTTCTTCATTCAATTCAGGATTGACGACTCCTTGGATTTTCCTCCAACCCACGACGGAGTTGAAAACTACTATCACCGGCTCTGTGAAGTACTATTTAGATTCGTTAGCCTCGTCGGTCGGCGATTCCCAATGTGCGCGCCAACGCAGGAATAGAAAGCGCAAAAGATCCGAAGCTGAGGAAGATTCTACAAACCAGGTCCTACAGCTTAAGCAACTCTATGTCGACGGCTTCACTTCTGACCAGATATGGCAACAAGCCTTGAGAATTCTTGATTCTTCCGGTGGTGAAGTCGAGCGGGATTTTACTTGGTGGTCTGCAGTGGCCAAGCCACACGAGCGGTCCCTGACCTCAACTTATAATGTGGCACTTGACGACACCGACTTCGAGGGCAGCAACGTGGACTCTCAGTCAGAGGCCGATCTCACCCAATCGAGTATCGATAATGACGATGACGACCTTAGTTCAGTACACGCTCACTCTCAAACCTCCCACAATGATTCGGACCTTGAAGAAGACATTGAGAAATTATCCGACAACAATCTCGGAAGCGATATCGACGACGGTGAACAAGAAACGTATGTGGAGGATCCTTTTGGCCTGAATGATGGGTTCTTTTCGATAGATGATTTCAACAAGCAATCGGAACTACTCGAAAGACAGGACGTTAGTGGCGGCCCAGGCAACGATTCTGAGAGCGAGGATGATGAAATCGATTGGCACGCAAATCCTTTGACTACAGCAGGGTCAATGTCTCTACCGAAGAGAGACATGCCACAGGAGCACTCTGACGGGAATGATGGCGATGATATTTCCGACAGCGAAGAGGAAGGACCAACATTTGGTGATGCAGGCTTTGAGGACGATTCCGATATGGACGCAGATGATGTCTATGCGGCAAATTCTGGAGGCGAAGGTTGGATGAACACCAGCGACATAAAGTATTCTGACTTCTTCGCTCCACCTCCACGTAAAGTTACACGCAAAAAGACACGCTCTCTTCCTAAAACTCAGCCCGACCTTTCCATTACCAACGACGACGTTGATCGTGCCATGGCTGATGTTCGCCGTGATCTTTTTGAAGATGAGCTTTCCGGTGAAGATAGTGATGAACACGAAGTAACGCGGGGATCTCAGAACAATTCCTCTAGTCATGAAAAACAGCGTGCTCGCATTGCTGATGAGATTCGCCGCTTGGAGGCTGCCAACGTTGCCAAGAAGGATTGGATGCTAGCTGGTGAAGCCAGGGCTGTCGAAAGGCCTGTAAACTCACTTATTGAGGAAGACCTGGATTTCGAAAGGATCGGAAAGCCCGTGCCAGTCGTTACGGCAGAGTTGTCAGAGGATATTGAAGAGCTTGTCAAGCGTCGCATCCTTGCCAAACAATTTGACGAAGTAATACGCCGGCGCCCTGGTGTTTCCGATGCTCAGCGCGCACGGGGAGTTCGTCCTGAACTGGAAGACACTAAACCCCAGCAAAGCCTTGCTGAATTATATGAGGCTGACCATCTTCGTGCTACCGATCCAAACTTCGTTGACCCTAAAAATCAGAAGTTGATCCGTGAGCATGCTACTGTAACAAGTTTATGGAAAGAGATCAGCTCTCAACTAGACACGCTCTCGAACTGGCATTACAAGCCCAAGGCTCCGCAGGCAAGCATCAATGTTGTCACCGATGTGGCAACAATTACTATGGAGGATGCTCAGCCGACAGCTAGCAACGCTGTAACTGCGACAGCAACCCTTGCGCCGCAGGAGATCTACGCACCTGGTGACGATAACAAGGTCGCTGGTGAAATGATCTTGAAGAATGGAACGGCAATCGCCAAAGAGGAGATGACCAGGGAACAAAAGGCTAGGTTGCGTCGAGAGCACAAAAAGCAAAACGCCAGCACCGCAAAATCTCAGAAGACAGGGAAAGCGGCTGAAAATCAGCAGCTCATTTCGGACTTGAAGAAGGGTGGAGTCAAATTGATTGGGAAGCAGGGCGAAGTGACAAATATCAATGGCGGTAAAATTAAAGAAGCCGTGAAGGAAGGTGGCCATGTGCTCAAGCTTTAGATTTCAGGGCGGTTACAAAATGTATCTATGTACCAAAGACAAGCGTATTTTGATATTTTCGCACATGACTTTCCCTAGTAGTTTTAGTTTTTAATTTGTAGCTAGACCTTCCTAGACACCCCTCTTGTCCGACTTCAACCTTATCTGGTAGAGGAAAATGTTCTCGCGCCGGTATGTCTCCGCATCAGGGTCATCCCGGATTTCGTCCACATCAAACATCTTCCTTGCATGTTTCATGAAACGGAGGTCTGCTCTTCTACGCCTCTTAAAGCAGAAGTAACAGACAGAGTCTGGACCAAGAAGATCATTCAAGGTCGAGATTAGTAGCGGGAAGGCGGGCTCAAAGTAAACACAGTCAGCGGCAAGGATAATTGCGGGATGCTTTGGGATGCAGTCTGGGAGGGAGTCTCCCCAGTTTAGTACTGTAGCTTCGACTGTAGAAGAAAGATTGTTGAGCTTGATATTCGTTTTCATCAGGGGCAACATGGGAGCTTGATCCGTAATGTAAATTCGTGGCACCTCAGGGTGACATTTGCGTGCAAGCGCAAGGCCAACGAGACCGCCGCCGGCTCCAAGTTCAACTCTAATCAACAATTAGCAGGGGTCAATTACCCGCATACCAGGCACAAGAAGGGCAGTTTGCTGGTGAGGATAAAACCGGGTCATAGGGCAACGGACATTGTTTTACCGAGAAAGCTAGATTGATGTTGGCGTAGCAAGTACTTCGACAGGACCATCCCCGCTGGCCATAGCTGGCCTCCACACCCTTCCTTTAGATCTTCCTGGAGAAGTAGAGGGTTCGATAACATCCCATCAAAGGAGATGATGCTCTGACTGGCGGGCTTAAAATCCCTAACCGGGATCAACGATTCATCGATGTCTAATGAATCATTCATGTCGATTGCAGCTGGAATTGAACCAGGAACTTCCATTTAATATGATGATGGTCTGTTACAGCACACAGCGTTAACCAACACTTGATGCCGAAGTATAAAATGAAGCAACTTTGGACGTTTGAAGAGCAACTCAGATGGAAGCACACTTAGTTATAGTGAACTTGTTCTTTTCTTTGGGTCGAACTGGGAGGTACGGAATCGTTAGTTCTAGTCTCCCCCAAATTTTTTTTCCCCGCCCTACTTTGCCCCATCGGTTTTCTACCTAATGTCTGGAATCACCCATATAAGTACGAGTTGTCACACTTTTACAATGTACCAGGGGAATTGACCACCATTGGTGAGGTTGAATAACAAGTCCGCCTTTGGTGAAGAATAGTTACCAAGGAACCTATATAGCTGGTATCAATAGGGGGAAAAAGGGCAACAATAAATTCTGAGTAGAACCGTAAGGGGGGAAGGGAGAAAAAGAGGAAGACGTGGGAAATAATTGACAGAGCAGTGGGCAGCAGGCGTGTTTAGCAACGCCCAAAACATGATAACTAACTTAGTCACAGTATTGTTCTTGTCTGATAGTAAGCGTACTTGAGAAATAATTATACAATGTATAATAGACTGAAGGCGCATCCTAGAACTCATGGTCAACAACACGCAGATATGGATGTAGAATGTGCCATAACAATTCTATTCCCAGAGAGAAGTTGTATCTCAAATTCAAAGTATATACTAGAGCACCAGAAATGACGCCTTCATTAGGTCCTAGTTGTTCATTCTGAAACTAGTTCGATGTGCTAAGCAGCGAGTACCATCTATATTACGAGTCAAACGAAGGGACCATGAGCCAAGCGAACAAGCTATCCAATATGAGCGTAATTTTTTCCCCATGAAAGTACAAAAATTGTGCAAACACTAAGATTAGACTACATCACAGAATGGCTGTACGTTGTAGATATCGCCAGGATGTCTGTGATTGTGGATACTGCCACGACGTAACTCTTTTTAAGGTGCAAGTAGTAAAGATCTACTGCTGGGTACTGAACGATCCAGGCACTAGTATGATTGCGGCAACCCTCCGCCAAGTACGTAATAATCTTGCACCCACTGAGAGTATTGTATGATGTCATGATAGAGCACTACCGTACAAAGTATGCTCAAGGTCGTCCTCCATCTTGCTGTGCTTCTCGTGTCTTTCGATCATAACGACGTCACTTCGTACCTCACCACGGATTGACTATGGACTTGTCCGGTGACGGTACTTAGGGGTTGAAAAGGCCAGCCTAGCCCAGCTCCATGCCATAAAACGAGGCTTACTTGCTCGAAAAGAATCTACTTCCTACACCTCGATTCTCTCAACTTCGGAGCATCCTACTTGAAGTTACATCTTGTCTCTACCACACCGAAGCCACCAACTACCTATCTCCAAAATGACAACCTTAAACTGTGAGTGCTCGTCTGTCCTCGCAGTGCAAGCGACGACCCTCCCCTCTTAACTTCAACTCTCATGAATTAACATAATTGGCCTAGATCTCCCTTCAGTCAAGCCCTCCGCAATTGCGGCAGGTGCTCTTTTCACCCACACTGCTTCCCTCGGCATTCTCGCGCCCGTATTCGGCGATACCTATCATCGTGCCCAAGCAGCCAATTCCAAGGAAGAGTTCCTCAGATCTAAAGAGGCTGCTGGTGCAGTAGCAGCCTGGGGTACCTCCTTGGTTGGAAGCTCTGTCCAAACGTATGGAGTAGCAGCTCTGATCAACGCCACGGGTACTTTGAGCTACAAGGGAGCGGCTTATCTTGGAAGCTTGATCTTCATGGCCAGCGCAGCCCCCGGTGTATGTTCTTTCCACCCTCTCCTTTTACCACTACCAACTCGCATTTCATACATGCTAATTATGTGTTGCCTTGTATAGGTTGTGAGCCAGGTCTTTGCCGAAAAGAGACCCCTTGACACTGTTGCCGTAGGTGCAGTCAGCAGGTTGTTTGAAACAGTGGGACTCAGCCTTTTCCTTACCTGGTGGGGTACCCGCACGAATCCATTTTCTAGCAGCTATTAAAGGTTCTATTGTTTCAATGTAATTTTTGATAATGTCGTTATTTAAATATCAGTTGATCATATGTTCGGGAAAGTAGTTCTTTCTATAATCTACTGAAGTTGAAGACTTGAGTATATAGCATGCGCTCTGCAACTAAAACACACAACCTCAAAAAAGCTTACACTGGCTCCTTTCAAGTTCTTCCTGTGTTTAGATTCAGAGTGGATTTGCTAGACGCATTGCCAGTCATCCTGGGTGTAGAACTTGGCCTTGTCACAGATATGCAACCAAAGGAGCCAAATGTGCTCTACAGAGTATACAGAATTCATTCAATCCTTGACCCATTGGCAGCAGAATGTACCTTGTAGGCTTGCGCCCGAGGAACGTTTTAAGTCTTTTCCTTTGCTTGTCCCAATAAGTTTTAATGGGGTACACAATCGACTGTAGCTACTGTCAATTACAACTACAAGTACACCAAGTAATATCTACAACACTAGTAAATATTAAACACACAAAAGCACGAGGACAGACCGTCTAGTAATGAGAACATGTGATGAAGGGAAAGTAAGTACAATTGCATTTATCTCAATATTGTACCCGAATGCTGCATAGACAAGCTAAACGAAAGTGCGGCAGGGGTAGCTTATCAAGGGTGTTAGCTTGGTCTAGAGGTAACGGGGATAGGTAGCACATACACACTGGGGTAGCCATGGTCATGGCCGAGCTGATATTTGCTACCAGCAGGGTTCAAGTTGCATGGCAGCGGAGGCAGACCATTAGCGCCCAGAACTTCCTTGATTCCATTCTTGTCCTTCTCAAACAGACCAGCAAGGCCGCGCTCTTCGGCCTGTTGCTTCACGGACACCAATTGTTTCTCTCCTGCCTCGCCGATCTGAAGGACATCGTCCTTGGGGGCAGCTTGACTGCCTACACTGAGCAGGCCCACAGCATCCGCCTGACTGACCGCACTGAGTCGGGGGTAATTCCTCCGAGCATCACGTTTCCAATAAGGGTTGTCAGCCAAATCACCGGCCGGAACAGTAACCGGATCATCGTAGGATAGAGGAGGAAGAGCTCCAGGGGTCGGTAGACGATACTGAGCGTTCAACGGAACACCCGTGGAGCGAGTCGGGTCGACGGCAAGGAGGCGGCGAATGCGTTCCCATATCCCAGTGGATTGAACAGTATATTTCTAATGAAGAATAAGTAAAATATTCTATCCCGATATAACACAGAGCAGCCAATGGCTATCTCCTACCTTATGAACGGCTATCACATTGGATGCGGACTTAGCCGCTTTCACGATGTCGCGAGCCATGACTTCTTTTCTGTCCAGGTAACGTATTAATGATTTAGGCGCAATTATGATAAAGGATTTTGCTATAGTGGGTGTTACTTTACCTGAGTACTAAATGGGGAAGGAAATGGAAGACCTTCAAGGGTACGTCCTTCGCCGCACGGTCTCAAACGGAACCAGGCCTGCGGAATCGAGCCTCTACACACGGAACAACTTATTTTCCGACAGTCGCACACCCCCGATTGCCCAAGGTAACATTTGTGGTAGGTAGCAGTGGAAATGAAAGAGCCCTGTTATTTCATGGAGAGAAAAAAAAAACATTACTGTATACTAAAGTGTCGGAGGGCATGCATCTACAGGTTACATATTAGAAGAGGCTAAATTGCCTTGCTCACGTGTGAGAAGCGGGCTACTATGGCCGGTTACAGTTCGGGTTGGGGGACATTCTGGGGCATCAATCGCGAGGATGGTTTGGAATTGCATATAATGCTTATGCCAGACAAGGCCTGTAGCAATTGGAAACCTCAAGGCCTCAATATGTCTGTAACCTATGAATCCAGCAACTACCACGTTCAATGGGAGCAACCCCATTGAAGTGATATGCTGATTACCCACTATCAATGACTAGTCATCCTTAGCTGGTGGACTCGCGTGACGGGTTTCGTCTCCAGAGCTCGGTTTCTTCAATCCTGCAGCTAGATTACGTGCAGCATCAAGCGTCGCATCGGGGCCTCCGGCCTGTAGTATCAGAAGTTTGCCCTCTTTATCAATAGCAAAGATTCCTCGAATTGTGCCTTTTGGCGACTTTTTAAGTCCAAGAGCTGCTATCAATGTAGCGGTGGGATTGCAGAGAAGAGGGTATTGCAACCTTTGTTTCGTCTTGAACGTAGTATTTGCCTTTGGTGAGTCCGCTGAAAGGCCGTAAACCGATAAACCACTTTCCGTGATAGAGTCATAGTTGTCACGGAACAAACAGGCTTGTTTGGTACCTTTTGATATATTAGCTTCTCTAGAATTACTGCAGCGGATGATTATATCAAAGGCCATATCGCGAACGGGTGTATTCGATGACCACCATGCGTGTTTGTACCCGCACCAGATTATCCTCATGGCAGAGTGCGGGGGTAATTGGGGAGGTGGGAGTAGAGATTTTTACGTACAGCCTGGGGTTGAAGCTCTAGGGTACGTGAACAGCACGACACCAGCTTCACTAGCATCGACGAGATCTTTCAGCGTGGTTTTTTGCCCTTCGTCAGTCTCAATATCACCACCGAAGTTGTCCAAGTCTAGTTTGTCGCCAACTTTTGGAGCCTTATCGTCGGAGATGGCCTTGGGGACATCCGGCTTTCGAGATACCGTGGATTCTTGAACTTTTTTGGCCTTGCGCTCTGCCGTAGGGGCTTGTGCTGGCGCCTTGCGCTTTCGTAGTTCGACCATATCTTGTGATTGAGAATCCAGGCGTTTGATCTTTTGTGTCAACGGAAACAAAACACAAAGGTTGGGGGAAGTAAAGAAAAACTTTTGAAGATGCTTATCAACAGCTAAACAGTGGATAAGTTCATAGATAGTGGAGTGTAGGCCAAGACTAACAGGTGAAAACAATTAACACCCGAGACAGCCACTGTAGTACGCATGGGAGATGTGTAATAATTGGCAGGGATTCTTGTACAGGGGTATGTAAAGAACTAGAAAGTGCATGCTTTGCATATGTAACTGACTAATGTATCTATCAACCAAGAATTTCCCATCTCCCCGTTAATATGGGGTTCCCCCGAGTACACCAAAAGCATGTATGTGCCTTCTAAATATCGACTACCACTTTTGGAACTGTTTGACGAATGTTCGGTATCAAGAGGCAAAGCTGGCTCTTATTGGATAATTCAAAGACATTTGATGATGCAGGAAACAAAGGGCCAGAGCATCATTCACACTGTCATATCTTGACCTCAATTAATTCAACTATCCTATAGTATGAGTGATTGATCGGTAGCATAAGATGTTGATCTGGGGGATTGTTCGGATGTACAAAGTAGTAGTAGTCGGCATAAACCAACCTCGACCCTCTAAAATAGTAGCGCCTGATGTCAGATGCACATAATAAGTCCCTAACTAACTAGTGGGTTCTCTGCGGAGTTGAAGGCGGTCTTTTGACCTTGACCGGGAGTCAGATTACTGTACCGGTAAATCCCGACCCTTGGCGCCACTGTTCTTGTCCAGGAGAAGAACGCGGAATCCGGGGCTAAAATTCTCAAATTTTCTACCAATCCTACCGCTATATTGCACAAGATTGGCGATCGCCACTCTCACTCACTGCGTCCGCCTTCACGACCACTCATGTGGAGTTCTCATTACTCATCTTGTAGTAGTTGATTATTTGCCGCATCCTGAACTCCTCGTAGTTATCGAATCCATAAGAACCTATCTCCGAAGCACCTACCGCCACAGACTTGGGTTTTGCTCCCGGTTCGGCTCGCTCTCTTTTTCTCCTTGGACGTGCATCTTTCTTGTTCTCGAAGTGTTTTATAAGCATACGGCCACTCTTTGTCTATCACGATCCCAAGGGACGTTTCAGATTGCAGTCTATCGACATGAGAGTCTTTTCTTCGACGTGCACTTTTGATTATTCTTGGGAAGAAGTTTCGGCGGCAAACTGGCGCAAATATTGTCCCTGGAATGACAAGTCTACACATGTCGTGGCAGTAGACACCCTATCTCGGGCAGTCGATGCTGATACTGGAATTGTACGTATCATCGACCATGTTACTCTCATTCTTACCGTGCAACATTTGGCTGATTTTCTTGTTGTATAGCTGCGGACAGAGCGTCTGATTACCTGTAATCAATCAGTGCCGCAATGGGTTCTTTCACTCTTTGGAGGCAGTGCTACGTCGCATGTTTACGAAGTATCCTACGTCGATCCTGTCTCGAAGAAGGTCACGATGTGTTCGACCAACCTTACATGGTCTAACGTCTTGAACGTCAAGGAGACCGTTATCTATCAGCCGTCGCCGTCAAACCCTTCCTCAACTACCGATTTCAACCAAGAGGCGAAGATTACTGCCTTGTGCGGTGGATGGCAGAAAATAAAAAACAAGGTAGAAGAAGCTAGCGTGGAGAGATTCAGTCAAAACGCGAAGAAGGGCCGAGAAGGGTTTGAGGCTGTTCTTGAGATGAGTCGCCGTGTTTTCAGTGAACAACGTGAACTCGAGAGCACTAAGCTTCAATCCTAACCACAATTGGGGCTTGTGGTCTTGGTCTATCTTTTCCGTCATACGTTTTTGAGCGTTTGCATTAACTGGCGTCTCTCTTTCCCGTCTTTTCGCCTTCATCCATGTGTCTTAATCGAAGCGTTTGTTTTTCTATTCCCGATGGATCTTCCCTCTGCAATTGGTCCGGACCGCATCTGCTCGTGATTGTCTTTCAATGCCTTGCCTCAGCGCCTTTTGTTTCTGCTATCACGCGCCACTCATGAGACATGTACAACCAAAAGTTATAGACTCTTCTTTCGCTTTTATCACCTGTCTCTTTTTCCGACGTCGTGTTCATATACCATGAGTACTATATATGCACCAGAATAGAGGAATGGGCATGTTGAACTAATCCGCTTCTTCGTAACGCATTTGAGTGATGGCGTTGCCATTTACACACCAGTGTGGTTTGCTCTCGATAATTCCAGAGGATGACATTTTATGATGGGGCTTCCTTGATCCCCTTTGTTGCTGCAATATGTAAAGGGAACAAGTTCTCTTGACAAATACTGTCTTTGAATCGGAACGCTCACTATGGCAGTACAGAATCTCTAATTATTAGAATATCTGGTCAAGTCTCAAAACCATTCTAACACACGTAGTGGTCACACAAAATGGATGTTATATTATCTGACAGTGTGTAGCAGAAGGTACATTTGAAGTATATTCAAAGCATAGAAAGTATAGGTACCACTAAAGGTTATGTTTATTAGGCGGGGACTGATAATGTATCGCCCCGTTCCGAATCCTACGATGTCATCCCGCCTCCTTCTCCGCATGCCACATTGCCCCTCTTCAGCCCGCCTAGTCGGGTTAGGTAGGTGGACTCCCTAAGTTGTTTCACGGTCTCAACCCGTCGACAGCTTACCCGAACGCTTCAATACAAGCATAAGGTAATAGGGTACCCATTAAGACCCTGGCAATTGCTTCTTGGTTTATGTTCCCTCCATACGAAGTTGCCCTACAACAATGAGCGCCACTCCAGAAGACATGATCCCCGCGCCAGGAGAGTGGCCCGTGGACCCCCAAGAAGATGTACCCATTTCGGACAATCGCATTTGGGTAGACGGATGCTTTGACTTTAGCCATCATGGTATGCCACCTTTTGCTCGTACCTTGCACAACACCTTCACAAGGCTGAGTTTTGTATAGGCCATGCGGGCGCTATGCTCCAGGCTCGCCAATTAGGAGACGAGCTTTATGTCGGTGTTCACTCTGACGAAGCAATCCTCGAGAATAAGGGGCCGACAGTTATGACACTGGATGAACGGTTAGTTTGCCTATATCAAGCAGCCCATTGGCCTTCTAATCCAAGTCTAGAGTAGCTGCAGTGGAAGCATGTCGCTGGGTGACTCGCTGCGTCCCCTCTGCTCCTTACGTGACATTTTTACCTTGGGTTTCGCACTACGGCTGCAAGTATGTCGTCCATGGCGATGATATCACTTCCGACAGCAATGGGGAGGACTGCTACCGGTTTGTTAAAGCTGCAGGGCGCTTTCGTGTGGTCAAGAGAACGCCGGGAATATCCACGACAGACCTTGTTGGGCGAATGCTTCTGTGTACGAAAAATCATTTCGTCAAGAGCGTAAAAGATACCCTCAGCGGGGAAGAAGGATCTGGAAGTCTGGAAGAGCGCAAGCATTCGGCCAATAGTCTCATGCAAAGGATTCGTGATTATGCCACTGACGAGACTGGTCTACAGCCTGGCCCGCAGGTTTGGATCTGGAACGGATCGAGTTCTGCGAAACTTGGGAACACGGTCGAGGAACCTGGAGCATTCGAGACAATTGTAAACGGAAAGTCGCCAAGGCCTGGACAGCGAATCATCTATGTCGATGGGGGATTTGATTTGTTCTCATCCGGGCACATCGAATTCCTTCGACAGGTCTTAACGCAGGAGGAATTGGAAGGCCACCGGCGTGGTTGGTATGATGAAGAGCAAAAAGTCAAGAGAGTCAAAGAATACGGAGAGGACTATGGCCCTGCCTATGTTGTTGCTGGCATACATGACGACGATGTTATAAACCACTGGAAAGGCCTCAACTATCCCATCATGAACATCTTTGAACGCGGGCTATGCGTTCTGCAGTGTCGCGTATGTAATTCGAGGTGTCTGGAATCTTTGAGTGAAGTATCAACCTGCTAACCAGAGTTTAGTATATACATGCTGTGATCTTTTCCTCGCCATTCTCCCCAAGTCAATCATACCTGGAGGCCATGCCATTAGGCGTTCCAGATGCAGTTTACCACGGTCCTACTACGTTCATACCCCTCACCTATGATCCTTATGTGGCACCCAAGCGGATGGGCATTTTCAAAGAGACATCTAGCCATACGTACCAGCATGTGAATGCCGGTGAGATCGTTGACAGGATATTGAAAAGCAGGGAAGCCTATGAAGAAAGACAGCGCGCCAAACTCGAAAAGGGTGTTGTTGAGGAGTTGGCCAAGTCCAAAGAGTCGGCATCTGCCTAGATAGCAATGGTGTATAACAAAGCCGGGCAAAAGCGCTTCCATAGAACATGAATTGATATATAATATAGAAGACGGAGAATAAAGGAGGGATGCTCGGAGATAGCGAAAACCAAGCCGCTCTTATGCATTCCAAAAAGTCAAGCACTTTAAGATTAAGAGTATGAAGTTTGGACAATGCGTGCGTCATGACAGAAGCTTCTCTATCTCCCCATCCTCGATCGCGCCAAGATGAAATGTAGAGTTTGAGTCACAAGCACACATGCATCTACTGCTGACATATTTCTTCCCTTCGGACGAAAAACGGTATGATAGTTTGTAAATGTACAGTACGTATATCGAGGCAGCTGCGCTATATCACACTCCTAAAATTAGTCGGCCGCCACAAGGACCCCCTTCTCTTCGAGCAATTTAGCAAGTTCTCCGTTCTGATGCATAGACATCAGAATATCGCAGCCACCGATGAACTCCTTCTCCAGATACAATTGCGGGATTGTGGGCCAGTCGGAATACTCTTTGATGCCTGGAAGACCTAGTATTAGTTGATTTGAAATAGAGATGGAGGACAAGAGTCCATCTATAAAGCATACCCTGACGAAGTTCTGAATCTTCCAACACATTGAATGCAACAAACTTCTTCGGATCCACTCCCTGCAGTCCCAAAATTTGTATACTGGCTCGAGAGAAACCGCACTGCGGCGTCTCTGGCGTGCCCTTCATGAAAAGAACGACGGGTGCAGATGCGACAGCTTTGTCGATAGCTGTCCGTGTCTCCGAAGACAGATACCGGGCATAGAGGGTAGAGGGCAGCTGAATGCCAGCGAATCTAGGTTGCAACACTTGAGGTTGTCGGAAAAGTGGCCGAAACGCCTAATAAAAATTTATCGTAAACTTAGCTATGTTCTTGAAGAACGAAGGAGCAGTATGCATAATAGCTGAGAGGTCAGCAAAAAAGGGGTGCGCAATACGTACCGATGAGGCCAAAGTCCTAGAAAACATGATGAGTTATTAGTTTGTGAGAATAAAGAAACGTCAAATAATTGCCGCTGAAGTCAAGCTTTGCTTGTCTATATGCACCGAAGTCCGGAGGGTTTAGTTAGCACATGCGGAGAACTTGGCTACACATGCTCACTAAGCAACCACTGTAGTTGTTGACATTAATAAGGAACAGTTCCCACTCCCAGTCATGTGATCCAGACTTCTTTTTGCTTGATAAAACTCCCAGTGAGCAGGTAGCTATGCATTTGGCAAGAGTGTACAAATGGTAAACCTCGTCTACAGAAGTGAATTATATTAAATAATAGCTGCTACTCGAAATACTAGGAGCGGTAAAACAGGACATCTAGTCAAGGTAGCTGACGGCTCCCCATTAATCTTGGAGCAAGATATCGACTTCAAATTGGAAGTGGACAGTCAAAGGTAGAATTGCCCCATGATCTCTATTGAAAGTGTTGTGTAAAGCATCTTTACGTGGCAGACTGTGAATGTCTTGATTCCTACCGGAAAGTGTTAGCAGAGTAATTGATAAACAGGTTACTCCTCCAAAACACCCCGCTGTGCTCTCGCAAACACCCCGCAACTCCAAATTATTTCACCCCGCATATCCATATCGAGATTTGCATTCATCATATCATTTGCCCAATCCGGCCATTATCTGCCCAAGAGCCCCATGGCATCCCCACCAGCTCCGTTCAAAGCCCAACACCACCTGGGTGACAATAAAATTCATGTGCTCCTTGCAGCCAGTGGGTCGGTTGCGACTATCAAGCTTCCCAATATCGCGGAAGCCCTTGGCCGCCATCCGAATATTTCTATCCGCATAATCGTTACAAAATCAGCGGCAGAATTTCTAAAGGGACAGAGTCACGAGCAACCATTGCTCGAAAATCTCCTCGAACTACCTGGCGTGGATGCTATTTACCGAGACGAGGATGAGTGGAGGCACTCTTGGACTCGTGGCGAGCCGATCCTACATATAGAGCTCAGAAAATGGGCTCATATCCTACTCATCGCGCCTTTATCCGCCAACACCATGGCCAAAATGACCATGGGAATTTCAGATAACCTTCTTCTCTCTGTTTTGCGAGCATGGGACACGACGGGATCGGTGGACGCCAATTTCAAGGAAAAGAAGCCCATTGTGTTTGTCGCCCCCGCTATGAATACAGCAATGTGGTTTCATCCGATCACTGCCAAGCAACTGGCTATACTGAATGATGAATGGGGCGTAAACTCTCGCAATAACGAGGGCTGGGTATCTGTACTTCACCCGGTAGACAAATCTCTTGCTTGCGGCGATACAGGAACCGGGGGTATGATGGAATGGAAGACCATAGTCGATAAGGTGGAGCAGTATTTAGGTATTGACAAGGACGATAAATAAAGAGGTTAGCTAGAGCTTCAGGACTTGAAAAGAAGGACGTAGGGTGTTTGTTTTTTTATTAGCTCTCCAGGGAAACCGGCTCCTCGTCCGGATCATAAAACCCGGTGGTTTTCGCGACATAATCAAGGAACATTCCCAGGGTAATGCCTCCACCGGTGAGCAAGCAACCATTCTTAAACCACCACCAGCAGTTCTGTACGTTTTTTAACTGAACTTTCCAGATCATGAGACCGAGGGTGACAGCTGCACTGCCACAACTGCCGATGAAGAAGATAGGCCCGCTCCCCGCTGCTACACCTGCAGCGGCGAGTAACGGTACCTGGACGGCGGCGAGAGCTGAAAGCACAGCTTTTGTGTTCTTTTCATGACGAAGGGCAATAGACTTAATGCCAGCCGCAACGTCATCCTTTATGTCCATATGCGCATATATCATATCATACAGAACCGTCCAGGTTACACAACTAGCGTAAAGCGCAGCAGCAGCTTCCAGTGCGGCGCTATTATGGAGGAGATCGATACCCAGCGCAGGGAAGCCCATAATCGCACCCCATGAGAAAGTAAGGCCCAGCACAGCTTGGGGATAATAAGTAACGCGTTTAGCAAGCGGATACGTGGTCACCAAAAGAAGACTAGGTATACCGTACCAAAGGCATTGATACGGAAATTGAAGAAGAACACCAAGTCCTGCCAGTAACTGGGTACCTGTAAACAGCACCGCTTTACCAGGAGGGATTGCTCCTCTTGCGATTGGGCGGAATTTCGTGCGTTCGACATGCGGATCTAAGTTTCTATCCCATAGATCATTGATTGCACATCCGGCACCGCGCATGATCAAGGCCCCAGCAAAGAAAAGACCGGTAGTTCCAACAACCTCCCAGGCTGAGACGGACGGCGCAATGGACGCGGCAAGTAGAGTTGAGAATGCGCAGGGGAAGAAAAGGTAGTATGTACCTGTCGGTTTATCGAGACGTAGCAGCTCAGCGTACGGTATCCATGACTGAGGCAAATAAGAGATAAGGCCCTTGTTTGGTGGCGTATAGCTTGTCACTGAGGCCTGGCTTGTTGTACTGTGTGCCTGGCTTAGTATCAAGGCCGAGCGACGGGGATGGCGGTTGTGGGTTGTAATGTTCGATTTCTGGCAGATTGATTGAATGCTGTTGGTCGCCGTATAACCATATCTTCTAGACGACGATAAGGAAACTGGACAACGGTGTCCCTGTACAGAGGTGAATCGGTATATGTAAGTGCTCCTTTCCCTAGGATAGCGACATAGTCGTGCATGCCGGCCGGCATACAAGCAACTCATAATGAACCGAATGAGGATGTAGGGATGATGATGCGTAGCAATTGGCCTCCTGTATGACTAGCAGTTTCAGAATTATCCTACACGGAGACAACAAATCGATCTGGCACAGCGATTTGGCAGATGAAATCCGCACGCCAACCAGACTAGACGCTATCCGAGTCAATTGACGAGCAGATGAGAAGAATTGGAACAGAAAGAAGCGTAAAATGCAGCTACCACTAAGCAATTTCCATGCCAGGAGCAGGAGCTTCCTGAGATTCAAGTCTTCAAAAAATTGATTGGGAGAAAAAATGGTTCATGATGGGCGAAATTTAAGGTACGGATATTGGCGGCCGGAGGTGTTCTTGAGCCTTTTTTCGGCAGTGGTTCCATGCGTTCCTGGGCCCGGCGGACGGGACCCACATGCCACAATCGCCGATGCAGCTGCAGCGAGAGTGAATCGAGACAATCAACAACTGCGCAGGGTCTATGGGTGTTGAACACTCTCTTTACTTCCATCATTTGGGAACCGGGGTATAGCTTGCACAGAGAGCAACTGCTGTTTCCGTCTCAAACTCGTGGTGTTGCTCGCTTGTTGCTCGTCTGTTGCTCGCTATTGTCATGACTGCGCGATATGTGTATGTGGGCATTTGATCAAGTTCGCCTGGCCGGCCACTTTCTTGAAGCGCGTTGATATCGGCTCTACTCAGCTGATCACCTGCCCTGGGCGATATTCATGAATCATTCTGGTGTACGTACGCTTCGACATCTTTCATGAATTCCAAAAGAACACAACCTCGGCGCAGTGGTCCATCCGGTAGCTTAAGTATGCTCTACTGCGGGGAAAAAGAATTGTTGGCTTTATCTAATATCGCGAAATAGGGTGATCGATACATTTGAAGACAAACGTACTGGAGCTCTAGCCATTCGTACCGACCTTGTTGAACCCCCTTCAGGATGCCCGCCCAGCGACCCCGAGCGGCTTTTGAGCCACTTTCTCCAGACTTGGACCTCACCGCACTCGTGAACTCGACACCAAACTTCGAGGAAGTTGCCAGGATTCACTGCGATATGATTGATGAGAATGGGCTGGAGATATTCGAGAAGCTTGTGTTGCTCCATGTGGTTCGGGGTGGAAAGCCTTTGGTAGTCGAGGGCTTCAACCACCGGCTCAATAACTCGATCTTCTCGGAGAAATGGCTAAGAACTCACTATTCATCGAAAAGTGAGTGATGTATCCCTCATCTATGCTGTCTTGCTTATCTAACCCAGAGCTTCTACGACACAGCGGAATGTGCTCGGAATTTGACCACAAAAACTGATTTACCTCTTACTATTGGACATTACCTGAAAAACTTGCCCCTTCTAGCAAATCAGTGGACTTCCTATAACTACAAAGATCCTGACCGTCAGAGGATCTACCTCAAGGACATTGACTGTCCTCATCAATGGCGCGAGCAATTGAAGAAGATAATCCCCCCCGGATTGTTCTACTTGAACCAGTTTCAGGAAAGCTTTGACGGCCCGGGAGCGAAGAGAAGTACATCTTCCAACAGAAATAAAAAGTCTACGGGCTCAAATAACCCGATGGCCAGACCTGGGGATCTTATGAGTTGCCTCCCTCCAAGCATGCGTGCAGAAAACCTGATGTGCTACATCGGCCACGAGGGTACCTATACACCAGCTCATCAGGAAATGTGTGCTAGCTTGGGCCAGAACATCATGGTGGAGGCGTCGGATGGTTCCACTGAATATGGCAAAGAAACGAAGCCGGGGTCGTCTATTTGGTTTATGACCGAGAGCAAAGATCGCCGTGTAGTCTCGGAATATTGGATGTCAACACTAGGACATGATATCGATATTGAGGATCATTTTGCGCAGATAAATGCGTGGAAGGCAGCGCCCTTCAAGACTTATGTTGTCGAGCAACGACCGGGCGACTTCATCCTCGTACCCCCTCTAGCAGCACACCAAGTGTGGAATCGAGGAACACGGACAATGAAAGTAGCTTGGAATCGTACAACTCCGGAAACCCTGGAGAAAGCGCTCACTGAGGCTCTTCCTCACGCCAGGATGGTTTGCCGAGACGAACAGTACAAGAACAAGGCGATAGTGTTCTATTCATTGGAGCATTACTCGGCCATCCTCCGCAAGGCAGATACAGTTGACAGTGGTGATTCGACAGTTAAGCAAATAATCAAAGATTTCGAGCACCTTTTCGGCCTCTTCACTAACATCATCTTGTCCGAGAGCTTCTCGGACCAACTACCCGAAGAGGATGTTGAATATGTTGCCTTTGACAGCAACATTACATGTTCATACTGCCGGGGTAATATTTTCAACAGGTTCCTAACTTGCCCGTCTTGTGTGGGACCAACAAATACAGACGAGGAAGACACTTATGATATTTGCATGGAATGCTATGCGATGGGCAGGAGCTGTGCTTGCATAGCTAAGCTCAAATGGGTTGAGCAGTTCCCTTGGGATGAGCTTCAAGCCAAATACGAGACCTGGAGGCTGCAGATACTCGACATCAACTCTCAATCCCGAGACACATTCGTGAGTCTCCCAGCGCAGAGGAGCCGGCTGGAGAAGAGAACACTTGCAGAGGTTTGCCAGTTGGAACTCAGGCGGCGGCCGTGGGTCGACATAAGTAAGCCGACTGTGCAGTCAGAACGGCTTGAAGAGCTGGAAAGTGATTCGGAGCGACTTAATTCCGCGCGCAAACGGAGGAAAACTCGTCGAGTTGACGCATTTCAGCAGACTGGAAATTGCCATATCTGCAGATATGCCGAGCCAAGGTGGAAGCTTGCCTCGTGTTCTAGCTGCCGGACGAACTACTGTTATGGCAGCTTATTTAGGGCTTTCAACATAAAGCCGCAGGAGACGATGGAAGCATTCGAGTGGAAGTGCCCAAAGTGCCGCAAGATTTGTAGTTGTGCTGCGTGTCGTCGCGATCCCACGATGACGCCCTTTGAGCCGACATGCACATTATTGGGCCACGACACCCGAAAGATAGCCGACCCTCGAAGTGTGGAGAGCTTAGTGGATTTCCGACAATCCAACCTCAGGTGGCTGAAGAAGGCCGGCGATGATGAGGTCAAACGGCTGAAAAAGCACCAGAAAGAAGCCGACGACAAGCGTAACCAGTCAATGGTCGAGCATAGCATTCAGCTCGAGGAGGTGCCTCCAGTAACAGAGTATGCGCCTGATTATGGTGATATACCGGTAGATCCGGCCCTGGAAAGGCTTGACAGCTCGTTTATGAGTGCACCTGACCTCTCCGGCCAGTGACAAGTTTCAGGGCGCTGCAGCAGTGTCCCATGTCGTTATAGCTCTATGCATGTCGGGCGTTATACTTCTTTTTCTATTCATTTAACATTTCCGCAAATAGCGAGCAGGCTTATCTTGGCATTGTATCAGCGGACGAATTCAGGATCGAACTTAACGTCTTGCATTATCCTCATCAATATGATTTGTAGACTCACTAACATGCTGGTTGGATTACCGAACTCATGAGCATGTAACTGTCGCCCGTGTCTTGTCAAGCAATTTCCCATGAAGCCGTGCTTGACCAAGAAAGACTTTTATTGCAGCGTGCCCTATGCTCCTTTGTACTCATAGCGGAGGTTCTCAAGCGCTTTGAGGTCAACTGATAGCATGACCTTGCGTGCGACTAATACAGCTGCAAACATTGCTATGTCATGTCAGTACTCGTCCGATCTTTTGCAAGACTCAAAACATCTAAGCAAAGCAAGGATGCCGAAGGTCACCTACCTCCTGGAACCAAGTAGGTAACCGGCTGGATCTCCAGCCAGGATTGCGTTGAGGATTGCGAAGCGTAGACCAGGGCCAGAAGCACGCAGATCGCAGCATTGACAGGCAAGATGTATGGCCGGATGCTAGCCATAGCATGCGGTGTAATCATTGGTCTCTTACCCTTAGGATCCGGGCGTTCAAGCGGGAGATACTTCATGATATAGGCCGTGACTAGTAGAGATAGGGCGCCGAGCAAAGACAGAAATCGTTCAGATAGGCTCGAGGAGCCCGAAAGTATTGAAGCAATGAAAGCGAAGCTGGAAAATAGCGGGATGGCGGCAAAAACGATCTATGTAGATGTGTCGATTGGTCCTCAGCAATTGCTCTCACTCTCAGTTCGATGGTTTCATGATAGGAAATATATTTACACTATATTCAGAGTTCCTTTTCTCATTTAGTGCTTTCAGTTGCTCTATCACACGTTCCTGCTCTGTCGGACCGTCAGCAACGTCGTCTAGATTGGCTTCCTGCTTGACCATTTAGCAGTATGTACATACCTTCTTCGTCTAGCTCCTCCCGACCGTGCTCGTCATCACCTGAATCATCAGGGTAGCGAAATGCCCTGCGCAGCCTTGCCGTCGCCATCGTTGCAACAATATGTCTGCTATGAAGGTAGCAGAGAAAATCAAAGAATTGTTGATGACGTCGGCCCAAAAGCACACGAGGTCCCTCCAGCTTGGGCGTGGGTTTGTCTCGTTTGCCAAGGGTACGGGCAGTACGCCCGTTTTAGATTATCATTCCCGCCTCAGGTTTCGGGCTTCCGAGCATTTAGCAACCACGCCCTACTATTACTGCCACTTTCCACGATACAATAAACCACAGAGGTCACGCCGCCAGACCGCAACAAGACACACGGAACACGTCGAAAGCCAATTGGACTTCTATTCCTTTTCCAAAGATGCTCCTACGACTCGCAGAGAGGCGCATCGGCGCTTCTCGAGTATGCGTAAATCATCGCAGAATGCTCCCTCCCCGGCGCAACTTGATCCCCGCACCACAGGCGAACTCGGGCCCTCTTATGGAAAGACGGGCGGATAGAGCTCTACCCAATGTTCAAAACGAGAGGCGATGGATACGAACCTTGCCTATCTTTGCTGTTGTCGTGGGGGCCGCTATGCTGGGTATCTTTAACTATCAGAAATCTTCCTCCAGTGTGGTTAACAGTACGCTGTATGCGCTGAGGACTTCCCCGCAGGCGAGGGAGATTCTGGGTGATGAGATCTACTTTGCTCAGAAGATCCCGTGGATTAGTGGAGAGATGAACCAGCTTCATGGTCGCATTGATATCTCGTTCTGGGTCAAGGGTACTAAGGCTCAGGGTAAAATGCGGTTCCGCAGTATTAGACCTGACCGGACTAGCTTTGTTCGTTTACCCCATTGCTTTTTGTTTTTGACCTGAAAACTCCTGGCTAATGTTCGTTCGTTGTATAGTTCCGCACGGAAGTATGGAGTTTGGAAACCGAGGACGGCACGGTTGTCCAGCTGCTTGACAAGGATACCGACCCATTCAACCAGACCAATTGATTGACTCGACTACTTGGCCCTCTTGTTTTGGGCTGTATACTCGCTTGTTACGCGGTGTTTGGAGATTTGTGCATGTAAATATATCATATCATTCATGTGCATTGGGCTAAGGCGTTCGGGCTTCGGAAAGCGTCTCACTCCCTTTCCCCCTCACTCATCCCATTGGGCAGATTTAGGTTGTTCGACTGGAGTGGAAGAGCTATTTGAGAGCGCCAATCAGGCGGAGAAGAACCTATAGGAACCAACACTTTGGGAAAGGGATATCATTTATGTATCATATACAGACGCCGCTCTTAAAAACAATACAGTGTAGTAGTACATTTCACAAAGGATGACAAGAAGAACAGAAAGCGCGCGCGGTTAATTTATTCAGAAGCCTCAGCAGTCGCGGGGGAAGCTTCCGGCCACGGCTTCTTGATGGCATCCTGTATCCGGACAACGCAGCCCTTGGGACCACTGACGGAGCCTATTAAAAACCCAAAGTTAGCATCAACCGTATCCATCTATAAGAAATCCACTTGAGAACAAGAGAGTAATTTGGGGTATCCTACCATTGACCACAACAATTCCATTCTCAGCATCCACCTTCAGGATCCTCAGATTCTGGACAGTGTTCTGCTCATTACCCATGTTACCCGCCATCTTCTTTCCAGGGTAAACACGAGAACCACCACCCTGACTAGGACCAGCGGAACCAAGCGAACGATGCGTCAAAGAAACACCGTGACTGCGATCCTGACCACCGAAACCATGTCTCTTCATAACACCCGCGAAACCCTTACCCTTCGTATTAGACCTCGCATCAATGAACTGTCCCTCCTGGAACCAGTCCGCACTGACCGCCTGACCAACAGGCAAAAGCCCGCTCTCATCCTTAACCCGGAACTCATAGACATGACGCTTAGGCGAGATGCCATTGGCAGTGAAATGGCCGAGCAGGGACTTAGTCAAGTTACTAGGACGCCTCCAGCCAGCACCCAGCTGAACAGCATAGTATCCATGCTTCTCGCGAGTCTTGTGCGATACGACCTCGACTCGATCGAGCTGCAGCACGGTGCAGGGAACACGTTTGCCGGTCTCCGGGTCATACAGGGCGGTCATGCCCTTCTTGAAGGTGATGGCACCGGTCCGCAGGGGGAGGGTGTTTGCCTTGCGCTCGAGGGCGGCGGTGGGTGTCGATTTCAGCACGGGCAGGTCATGGCCGACGTTGAAGCGCGAAGCCTCGGGGGGATTCAAGGACCGGATACCGAAGGTGCGGACTGAGGTGATGGAGAATTGGCTGCTGCGGACGGAAGAAGAGGTCGGGATTTGAGATGCCCAGATGTTCGTCAGGGGAAGCTGGGAAAGCTTCCCGGGCATACGGGGAGGCATGGCGAATGGAGGTGATGGGGGGGGAGGTATAACTCTCTCACTCTCACTTCTTTTCTGCCGCTGAGATTTTTGGCAAGACGTGCGGAGACCCCGTCGAGGATGGGCCGGAGAGCCTCGAAGGCGGTGTGGTGTGTAGGTGCGCGCGAGCGCGGATTCTGGTTTGATGCCTGGGTTATGATCCTCAGGCATTAATACATGCGGGTAAACATGGGTTAGTTTACTTAGTTACTGTATGAATGCTTATTTACCAGCATGCAAGTAGGCACGCAGAATTCTATACTGGATCACTAATAGTGCTTATATGGAGCCTTCATATTCCTGGCCCGAGCCAATGCCGAAGATATGGCGACACTAGCACCACAAACTTCGAGCATGCGATTTTCGTGCAGTCGATTCCATGCTCCGATGCCAATTGCCAATCGGGAACCGGACTCGCCGGCACGCCGATGGCGGCGCCGAAGTGTATAAAAAAAAGACGGGAGGGAAGCTGATCCTACGATCTGCTGCCGCAACGTCATCCCAATCTCACTTGTATTCAGGCCTGCATTGCCGTCTCGGCTTCTTTTGCTTTCCAGACCGTCGCTATCCGCGAGTATATTAAGAAGAGGACTTCTTGGTGATTGTTCCCGGTCATCTTCCACCCCACGATTTGTCCGTTCTTTCCCGAAGACCTACCGGAGAAAGAACTCACATCACAACCTCCTACAACAAAACTACGCCTCCCCCCAATTCGCTCGCATTCGGACAACCATCCATCCCATCCATAAAACCCGAACAAAATGAGTTTACGACAGTCTCACCTTTCGCGCCTGTTCTCTCAAGCGTCGAGAATCCTCCAAAATGCGCCACCCGCGTCCACAACAACAAGGACATCATCCCTATCCTCCTCCCCGATCCTAAGCCGGGCCTTCGGAATGCCCAGCAGACGCGCATTGAGCTTCCAGACCCGCGGGCCTTCCCAAATAAAATTCAGGAGCGGCCAGATGCAACAACCAGGGAACATCTTCCGGCGGTCGTTCTTCCGGTCCGCTCGGTCGAACAGCTCGGCGCAATCGGAGCAGCAAGCGCCCTCTCTTTCGCAGCGACTTCGTACGCTGTCGAAGGAGTACGGATGGTCCGCGCTGTGGGTGTATCTGATTCTGTCGGCGGTGGATTTCCCGCTGTGCTTTATGGCTGTTCGGTTGGCTGGAGTGGAACGGATTGGCCACTATGAGCATGTTATTTCGGAGTCGGTGAAGGGGGCTGTTCGGAAGGTGTGGCCCCCTTCGGAGGAGGAGGAGAAGGCTGCTGCTGCGTTGCAGAGGCAGGCAGAGCAGGAGGAGAAGGAGGCGGGCGAGGAGAAGGCTAATGGTGGTGAAGCTAGTAAGTGGCTTATGTTTTTTTACCCCTTTGCTTGGATGCATCCGTGAGTATAAGAGATCCGTTGGCTAATTGCTTTTCTTTATCGTTTGAAAGGTCTTTGGACGCAGCTTGCCCTCGCTTATGCAGTTCACAAGAGTCTTATCTTCATTCGGGTTCCCCTGACGGCTGCGATCACTCCCAACGTTGTCAAGGTTCTGAGGGGCTGGGGCTGGGATATTGTCAAGGGTAGGCCGAAGGGCATGTAAGTGCCATTGGAGATGTGTTTGAATATGATGGTTGGGACGATTAATGCCGGAAATGGCTCTGTGAAGAGTCTTCAAAACAAGATATTATATTTATAGAGAGATGTACACTAGCTGTTACATATAATTTTGCAGGACACGCACGCAGTGTCCTTCTCCACTCAGAGATATTGAACCGGGTATTTCCGTCAATCATGATCGTCTAAGGACGACAGGGTACAAAGGTTCGAGGAAAGATGAGACGGGACATTAAAGGATAGAGGACATCAGTCTAGAGTACCCAAAAACCACAGCATGTAGCAATATTGAGCCAAGCGTTATGAAAAAGTAATGGCACAAGTTCATCCAGGCATGCAGTGCAAGAAGTAAAAATTGAACCGAGCCCCACATAAAGAAAAGACCTCACAGTGAAACAAGCATGTATGACTGACATGATTACATTGGTTCGGGATCCGTTGACGCCCGAGATACATATCGACGAAAAGGTCGTGAGAAAAAGTGGGATGTATGCGAAAGAGAAGACTCGAGATGGCGTATCACATGTCAATCATATCGTTGAATTTCAGGATGCCATTGGCTTTCATGACGCCATTCACACCATCTGGCATTCTGTATGCCCATTCAGCAACGCCCAATGGGCTTGCGACTTGCATGGCGTCTAGTTGGTCGGGTTGCTCAGATTCATCGGATGTATCCGCAACTAGCACGAGGCCAAGCTCCTTGATCGTCTCTACAAGCGCCGGTACGACATTCTATGGTATCAACTTGTTAGTTTCCGATCTTTAAGGAAAACTGTTGTATAATGTCAGTGTAGGAAGGAGACGAAGCACAACTTACCAATAGACTAGAACGGCATATCAAGCCCATGAGATTGTTACTTTGCGCTATCCGTGCCGATTCCTTAATGGACATAGAAGCTCGACCACTACTATCGACGTCTGGCAAAGACTTAACGTCACGGGCTAAGTCACGAATTTGGCCAAGATCATTGCAAAGAAGGACGGGATCTGAGATAGAAAGTGAACAGTTAGTGTATTGCTTCCAAGCGATACCTGTAAGGGCATGTATAACTCACAGTTCGGTTGC